TCCCCTCATTGACAGTTAGTTGGCTGTTAATTGGCAGTCAACGTTCTGTTGTTACGAGCGGAGAGGGGGGAAGTTGGTAGGAGGATTTTGCTTGTGTCACAGTCAAATTTACCTGCCTTCCCCCACTATGCTTTGTTGTATTCCTATGACACCCCCCTCCCTCATTGGAAGGTAGTTGGCAGTCAATTTTTATAGTCCCCCCCTCCCTTATACTTTGTTAGCGATGACTGATCCCCCTCCCAGTCCTCCTGGAAACCATGTGATCCCCAAAATCCTCCAACCCCCTCCTCCCTTAGGTGAAATAATGACTGTTACCTAATATTTATGTCTTTTTCTGTCCACTCCTTGCTTTTTTAAGGTATTAGTATTAGTGAAATTCTTCAGTATCGAAAGCAGTTTTACGAATCTAGTTATGATGTTCGTGTCATCTGCGCCAAAGGAGACTCCATCGAAGAAATCGCTAGCAAAGTTCGGAAAAGTTTGACAGAATTAAGTTTCGATCAGGGATTTACAAGCACAAGACAAGAACACTCTGACACTGGTGACAGTCCGGGATTTTTACAAGTAGTGCTAGAGGGACTGGCGTCTGATGGGGGACTGTATGTACCGAAGAAAAATATACCACACCTTGGTGAAGGTGAGACTAGATCATACAGTAATTTCAATTGAGTGCCGAAAGTTACGCGTGATTCCTTTAGTTCGTTTTAATTCGCCATGCGATTGGTCAACAAAAATCGCGCAATCCTGAAAACCAATCAGATTCTAAACTGAAAAACCAATCCCGACTTGATCAACCGCGTTTTCGTGCGCTTCAAGAAGTTTGGTCGTTTTTGCTTCGAGCTCTCAGCGTACGATTTTGCCCTGAGTTAGCTCCTAGTGACATTTTTGTTATTACTTTGTTATGAATTACACTTTAGTCACTTGCGGGCAAACGCAAGAAACCAAGTACTCATTGGTTCTCCTGTTACATTTTAAAGGTGAAAGGTTTGTGGGAGCGTTTTGAAATAAAAGCAGAGCCTAAGAAGGCTGACTCAAAGCAATTCATCCATTTTTTTGACGCTCACTCGAAAAATGCTCAGTCTCTTTATTGCTGCAAATTATGATACTTAACGATAAAGAAAACACCATCTCCTCGTTACGTTGAAGATAGATTGTTTTTAAGGAGAAAAGTCGTTTCCCTCACAAGTTCTTTCCGCTTTATAGGTCAGTGGGAAAGGCTTGTAGACTGTAGCTATCAAGAAAGAGCTTTGCGAATTCTAGAAACTTGGATTTCACCAAGCGAACTTCATCCATCGAGTTTGCGCCAAATGATTTACAAAGCTTACTCCAGTAATTTCCAGCACAAAGCAGTTGCCCCAGTTGTCAAACTTAACGACCAGTTCTATCTACAAGAACTATTCCATGGTCCTACAGCTTCTTTTAAGGACATGGCTTTGCAGCTGACACCGCAGTTTTTTAGCGAAGCTATCGCTCGAACGTGTTCCTCAGATGGAAATCTTAAGCGTCTCATACTCGTTGCTACATCAGGGGACACAGGGAGTGCAGTACTTGAAGGCTTTAAAGATAGCTCTGACACTGACGTCCTCATTCTCTACCCGGAGGAAGGTGTTAGTTCGATCCAAAAGGCGCAGATGGTTTCGTGTGATGGTCGAAACATGCGCGTGATCGGAGTGAAGAGCGACTTCGACTTCTGTCAAACTGCAATTAAGACGATCTTTAATGATATGTTGTTTAGCAAGAAACTAGCAGAGTCGTATGGTGTGCAACTGAGTGCGGCGAATTCCATAAACTGGGGAAGATTATTACCGCAAGTTGTTTATCACGCCTCGGCATATTTGGATCTTGTTCAAGCTGGAGTTATCTCCATGGGTGAGGAAGCAGATTTGTGTGTACCAACAGGAAACTTTGGCAATATTCTGGCTGCCTACTATGCGAAGGTTGGTAAAAGAAGAAGTAAGCTTCACAAACCATATCACTTATCTTTTACATTAAAAAGGAAAATGGAAATGACGATTTTAGCTGTTTTATGAGATTACAAAGAGTACAGGTTTCAAGAATTCTTTTTTTATTATAAACACGCAAGGAACATTACTTACAGCACTTAAATTAACTACGTTAAGGATACGGACACGGAATTCTCTACGTATACCCTACATTGCATTACATTGCTCGCAGTTATGGTACTTATAGTACTCTTAAGATACACTTGATATTTATACTTAGTCCACTTACATTATCCTACTAACACTACTTACAAAGTGATACTGCAAACAACACACATTTAGAGACACATTTTTCTTTTAAAAAAAGAGAATTTTTTCACTGAACATTAACAGTTATGAAAGACAAAAGGCTAAAATGGGAGTGGAATAGATACGAGTAATTGCTTGAAAGGATCCCAAAATTACAGCGGTTAACAAACTTGATTTTCAGAGGCTTCAGATTAGGATTGAGAGAGAAGAATATAGCCTGCGTGCAGGCTCACATTCTAGAATTTTAGAATTCTAGGCATAAATATTTCTCTTTAACGTTAACAGGAAATGGGAATTCCTCTCAAGAACCTGATCTGCGCCTCCAACGAAAATAACATCCTCACAGACTTTTTTCACTCTGGTTTGTACGACATGAGTAAACGAAGGCTTCAACAGACCATTTCTCCATCTATTGACATTCTCAAATCCTCCAACCTGGAAAGATTACTTTATCACGTTACTGGACGAGGTGTTCCTGGGTTGATGAGATCGTTGGAAGAAAATAGGAATTTCCAGGTATGTTTTTGTCCCAACCAAAACCCAGTTACAGTCGAACTTCGATTATCCGGACTCGTCGGGACCTCGGTAAATAGTCCGGATAATCGAGTGTCCGGATAATCGAGTGTCCGGATAATCGAAAATATGAATATTAATGAGATAGAAATGTAAACAAAAGGTATACAGCAAAGAAAAAATCATTTTAATTGTGATATCTACACAGCCTGTATGTATTTACAAGTAACGCATCACAATATTTCTGTCTCGTTCACTTGCGAATTTTGAAAAGCGCACAAGATAATACGCTGTTTCAACAGTCTTTTGAAATGATTATTGGGCTTTTTGCGACTCTGAGTTTTCAAGATCACAACTAATTAATATTCATGAATAAAATTGGGACCAGAGAAGAAAGTCCGGATAATCGAGGTCCGGATATTCGAGGTTCGACTGTATATTGGCTTGTTGATATCTTTATTGTTATTTCTTTGTAAACAGTGTACAACTAATTTGGATGTTTTTTTTTTTTTTTTTTTTGGCTTTTGTGATTGATTCATTGCAATGTTACGATCACTTTTTTTAAAATTCCGAGGAAAGTAATCGAGGACATTTCCCCTCAAAGCAACATCTATTGCAGCTTGCAAGAGGTCATAACCTCGATACCGTGTCACACACGAAAACATATAAATTTTATTTTCTTGCTTTTAAGTTGTTGAATATTTTGCAACAGTTAGTTATGTAATTGATGCATGATACTTGCTGGCTTTTCGACACGTGTCAAGTTGGTCTTAAAAGTGTTCGTCCCCTTTTGTGCATGTGTTAAAAAAGCGTCTTCAGTGTCAGATTTTTTGGCGTCACCATCGTCAAAAGAGGAAAAACGAAGGAAAGCAAACAAGAAATATACCGTACTCATTCTCAACCCGTCTCCTCATTTCTGTAGCTTTCTTGGACAAATATTCCGTGTTATTTTCCAAGTCTGATAAGTTGTGTAACCATCGCTGGCGCATGCACGCACACGTGCTCTGTTGACTATATAAAGTTTCTTTTTCTCTTACCCGTGCACTTGAATCATTTTCATTGCTAAGTGAGCAGCAGCCACCTAAGATGTCCAAATTTCTGCCAAAACTTTTCAAATCAAGCGATCGCAAGAACTGGAGGAGAGACATGTTGATCATCTCTTGCCCAAAAGAGGTGTCCGTTTCTACAGAACTAAACAGTGGCCTTGGCAGGCGGCTCCCCTGTTAGGATATAAACGAAAGTGTCATTATCGTGAAAGATGAAGAAAAATCAACCATTCCTGTGAAAGGTGGCTTTGATGAAGGTAGCCTCGGGCTGAAAGAGAAGTCAGAACGTTTGATTCCATCCGTGGACAAAAATCTTCAATTGACAAGAAACTAACACTGGTGGACTTGAGAAAGAGGTGTCCTCCTGGGTTTAAAGAATTCGAGGTTGCCCTTGGATCGCAAGACCTAGAGGAGGAAGTCGCCTTACAGCTGTGGGAAGATATTTTCAAACCTTTGCAAAGCAGTTTCGTAGGAGGGAAAAAATTGTTTTGGTCAGATGTCGGGTAATGTGAGCAAAAGAGGAAATTTTGTTAACTTCGGATTTCTGTTCAAAATAAAAATTCTTCTGGTCTTGCAAAGTTTTTTTTATTGTCGGTAGTTATTGTTTCAATAAGAAATTACGCTTAGTCTTTTTATTTCGAAGTTACTCTCTGTTTTCGCTCTAAACCTACGGGTTTGTACTCGCAAGTGGAGAGCGTAAATTTTTCTTTTCCTTAATTTTTTGCCGTCCTACTTTTTCTTTTTTCATTTCGTTCCCTTCGTCTAGGAATTCGCTTAGCATAGCAATCAAAAGCAACTTGTAATTGAAAAAAAAATTAATGAAAACAAAAAAAACAAAAACAGTACTACCTATCAGATACAATGAAATATATGAAGTTCATATATTTTGAACTGCGGTATTAGATACATATGGTGCACGATCCTCGCAGTAGATAGCGCTATTTAAGCAATAGCGAAAATCAGACCTGAAAAAATCCCGTACAGGCCTGATTTTTTTTTTCAGGTCTGATTTTCGCTATTTACTGCGAGGATCGTGCACCATATGTAAGTACTACCTATGTAAGTACAATTTTCGATTTCAAAATCCCTTTTTGCAATTGGACAATCTTCCGTAAAAAATTTTGTTTTTAGACGCGATTCAAAAATCCAAAGTGATAAATTAGTTAAACGAATTATTATGAATAGTGATGCGACTTTTGTCCTTTTTAGCGTTTGGACGCTATACAGAAGAATGATAAATGGGAGTACAAAATACCTTCACCGAAATCCTTTAAGAATAAAATTCAAAGAAGAAAGTTGCCATAACAGATCGACTGCGTTGAAAATAAATCGTCCTTTTTTACTTTCCGTTTGCCGACTGTGTTGTTTGTCGACTGTATTGTTTGCCGACTGTGTTGTTTGTCGACTGTGTTGTTTGTCGACTGTGTTGTTTGTCGACTGTGTTGTTTGTCGACTGTGTTGTTTGCCGACTGTGTTGAGACGGACATTTTAAAATGATTGTGATTCAAATCATTTTTCGGTATGCAAGTTAAGAGGCTCCTAATTGCATTAACGTTATAATGGGAAAAAACCAAACCCTCCATTGTTTCTCAAGTTGCTAATTAAAAGACATTTGACCTTTTTACAAAAATGAACACGAAATATCGAGTTCTGATGAGAAAATCAAAATGTTGTTCAAACGAAATTTTGTCTTTTAATCTAACTTTCAGAATTTTTAACACAACTTTACGCGATTTTATTCCCTTTCTTTGATAATCCCGACAAATCTGCATATTGACATATTTAATGTTTAATTTCTGGGGAAAAGCAACGTATTAACGACTCAAATGCAAACTGAGGTGCCGAAAGGTTTTTTTCTTCCTGCTCGCCATGGCAACCAAAGCGGATGCAAGCTTGGAGCGCAGGTTTGGTTGCAGGGAAGCCTTTGTTCCTAATATCATTGATAATCTTCGTTTCTTTCAGATTTCTGGTGATCTATGGAGTCACTTGTCAGGTGTATTCAAAGCTGATTGGACAACAGAACAGAGGTGTCTGGATGTTATTCGATCCACATATGAACATAATAACTACATCTTTGATCCTCACACAGCAGTGGCCAAAGACGTAGCGGATCGCTTTGCAAGTCCTCGTCGACCTCTCATCATCTCCTCAACTGCCCACTACAGCAAGTTTGCATTTGATGTTTTGAAAGGATTGTCAAAATTACCAGCATCTCACGATCCTTCGGACTTGTTTGGGAGTCTGAAAAAACTTGGCGCTAACCCTTCTGCGCATGCCAATCTTGAGACTGTTGTCAAGCGAGATCAGAAGCAGAATACCACATGCTTAGCGGAAACTAGTGCTGTCATGAAGGAAATAGACAATTTTGTTGTTCGGTGATTTTGGATCGGGATATTAACTGAATGTTATCGATCCTAGCCCTTTGTATTATTACCGGGACATTGTGTTGTGTTCTTAGGCAAGACACATTACTCTCATAGTGCCTCTCTTCACCCAGGTGTTTAAATGAGTATCGGCAATTTAATGCTGGGGGTAACCCTGCGATGGACTGGCATCCCATCCACGGGGGAGTAGAAATACTCCTAGTCGCTTCATGCTACAGAAACCGGA